CGACATAAGTCGGATCCGCGTAAGTCGGGGACTGCCTGTATATAGATATATAGATATATATATATATATATATATACACACAGTGCTCGACAAATTATGGAAAACCCTACTCGCCAGACAAAAAAGGGACTCGCCACCCTCACCCCCGCCCAAAAAAAAGTGTTTTTTTTTATGGCATAAATTCCTAATAAGAATAAGAACAGTAATTACTAATACGTTCTTAATAAATATCACCCAAGTTATTAATAAATATCTTATAAACGTCTACCTTTCCCCTCTGCTGCCATGTCTCCTCCCCTTGCTCCATCAGCTCCCCTGGTGCCTCCTGCCCCCCAACCCCTTACCCTCCTCTGCTGTCCTGACTCCTGTCCTTCTCACTGCCCTCAGCCCTCCTGAGACCTGCCCCTCTCCCCCAGCCCTTCTCTCCCCCCTGTGCCCACTCCTCCAGTAGCCCCACTCATCAAGTGAGCTACCCCTCCTCATCCCCTCTCCTAACATGTGTCATATACTGTATATAAAGTGTTTTTAACTCTTTTTATTGTAGCACAAGCACTGTCCAGCGTCACACAATGCCAGTGGCAGACTGACTCAGTCGCATCCGGTTTCGCTCAGTTCAGCTGCTGCCGCTGCTGCCTTGTGACTCTGTTTTTGCTGAAGCTCACTCATTAGGCTCTTGCCATTTTGATGCCGGACTATCGGGAGTGCCGTACAATTGGATGCCGGACTATTGGAGTTTTACTGTATATGGTGTACCATCTCTGCCTACAGTAATCACAAGAATCTTGTATTAGAGATAGAGAAAATTGATGGTAATACAGTCAAAACTGCACTAAGAACCGCCTCCAATAGTCAACCTCATGTGTTCAGTGACCACCAAAGAGGTGTTTCCAGAATAATTTTATCTGACTTTGTATTAAAGACCATCTTCTACTAGCACACTGATTTTTGCAAAACCCTTGAGTCAGGTTAAGACAGGGATAAAAATTTCATAATAAATACGTAACATAACTGTTTGTGCTACTATCACACCTTTTGTTAAAGGATCTCTAGATATTGGTCTATCAAAAGTGGAACTAAGGTCCCTATACCCTAATCATTACTCATACAGGAGTAATCATGGGGAGTGAAGATGACACATGGTAGTAATGGTTTGGGGGATCAGGCAGACCCTAATATTGTACCACACAAATCAACTTTATTACGGAGAGCACTCTGCCTCTGTATTCTGTATCCCCAGATTCTTTAGATAATGAAATTAAGAGGATGCAATGCTATAATTTAAATAAGTGGAGGGAGAGAGAAAGTGAGGGCAGAGATGTTTTCAGATGAGATTGGAAGGCAGGAGCTGTGGTGAGAGACTGTTCTCAACGGCAGAGGCTGCAGAGAAGGTTCTTGTGCCAACAGTGGGGAAGATCTGTAAGGGAAAAGGTGCAAGATGAAGGCAGGGAATGGAAATTTGGGGCTGGAGCTTGAGTGCACTGTGACTGTGCTGTCCTGAAGCTGCGAGTACTGATTTGGGCCCATCAGGGCAGGGGCCCTCTCTCCCCATCCCCAGCTGTTTGGTGTTGTGAACAAGGGTGGAGAGGATGTGTGGAAGTGGTTTGGACTCTGGCTCTCTGGCTATGAGGGATGAAGGTCAGAATGGGAGAAGTGGGCCAACCATGCCCAGTACCAGAATCTTACCCATGCAGAGTAGCTGGCAACATCCAGAGCCCTATCCCCAGCTGGCCACTCTTTTATGTACTGGCTTACTTTCACCTCTGCATATACCTAAGATTGATAACCTTGCATGTCTCCTCACTCTTGCATGACTCAAACCCTCTCCCACATGGGCCTTACACTTGCAGTGTTGGTGGGCACACAGCTGCTGTATTATCAACAATTTTGATCTGTTGCCGCTTGTTAAATTGCAGAAGTGAGAACACAGTAGCATCTTTCGCTGGCCCCAGAAACTATTAATCTAAGAGATCCCATGTACTGCAAAAAATGCGACTCTTTAGCCCCCATGTAAAAAACCCCAAACCCTGCCGCTTAAATTAGTGGTGGGGGGGGGGAGGGTGTTTGTTTTTTGGCAACTGCCAAATGCAAATCCTTAAAACATTACCCCCAAATCAGCCAGTGGAGCCAGATACCTGCCAGGTGGTGGTAACCCTCCTCTTCTGTGGTCCCACTGCCGTGCGGAGGGACAGGGGCTTGGCCCGGGACAGGGCAGAGCAGAAAGAGCTGCCAGTTCCCCGAGAGCTGCGCACAGAGCCTCCAGCCTAGCGCGCGCCTGGGCCAGGCCCCACAATGAGGATTTTTTTCCCCACTGCTGGGATTGCTTTGACAATCTTCTGAATAAATTAGGTTTCTCGCAGGAAAAATCAAACATATCTTTTGAATCAATTCACATTTCTAACCCTCACTGACTTGAAAGGGGTGATTTCAACATTCATCCCTTAACAAGCCCATAATTGCCCCTAAGTGATTTTTACATGGCATGATTTCAATTATTTGCTATTTAAAAGCAAATACTGTACTCCTGTTTTGTTAATAATCCTAAAACCTGATAGCCACTTGCAGTGAGAAAATTATGAGAGAGGGAGAATCAGTTTTAAAGCCATGCTTCCTCTAGGCCACTGGTCTCAACCCGAGCTCCCCAGCCCCTCCTCAGCAGCGCCCGCCCGGGGGAGGGACACGGACTCTGATCCCCACCCCTCGGTCAGAGGGGCTCCCCCCTGCAGGCGGCAGCGGTTCTCATTTCACCTGCTGCCAGCGCAGCTTTCATTGCTTAGATCCCCCTTTGGGGGGGTTACCTCCAAGATCCACCCGCATCCTGTAATGTGTCGTAATAAGGAAACACGCGTGTTCACTGAAAGGGCCCCCAGATCTCAGCGCTTGACCTGATTCATGGGCAGCCCCTCACACTCTGCGTGTGGCCCTCCCGGCAGCGGTTCTCATTTCACCTGCTGCCAGCGCAGCTTTCATTGCTTAGATCCCCCTTTGGGGGGGTTACCTCCAAGATCCACCCGCATCCTGTAATGTGTCGTAATAAGGAAACACGCGTGTTCACTGAAAGGGCCCCCAGATCTCAGCGCTTGACCTGATTCATGGGCAGCCCCTCACACTCTGCGTGTGGCCCTCCGGGCGTCCTGTTACCTTGAGAAGTGGACCCATCCTAGCTAAGGCTTAGTCGCTTTTACTTCCCCCATTTCCGACTGTGGCGTGTGTCTCACCTACGGCTTTGCTGCATTCACTGGTATATAATGTAATGAATGGCATTTGTCCACACGTATGGAGTACAACGGATATATAGATCTTTGCAATTTGCAAAATGTGCCTCAAACTTTAATTCAAACAGTTCTTAAGTTCTTCGCATTTAAACCCACTTTATTCCACTAGAACCTGTCCCCGGGCCCTAGGTTCCTCACCCCTGCTTTAAGACAGTGTCTGAACGAACTCCTCTGCTGTGGTTGGCCAAGGTCCACCACTACATAAGCACAGAAGAAAAACAGTCCTATCCAGTATGTGTCTGTCTTCTGCCCATTTTACTTTTTAGTCTGCCAAGAAACAGAAATTGAAAGCCCACAACTTTCAAGAAGCCAGAATGAGTAGTTAAGCTGGACGGACTAGAGCCATTAATTCAATTTTCTGAGACTGTAAGTGCATGTTTAGCATGTTTTGTCGTTTCCGTGGGCACACAACTCACTTCTTCAGATGAATGGAGGTAATAAAAGTCCAGTTTCAAAATCAATAGGGGATGGGGGGGAGAAATAGTTAGGCTATGTCTACATTACACTTTTCTTCCAAAAAAAGAAGCTGAAAAAGCTACGCAAATTGCAGTTTACAATTTGTGTAGCTTTTTTTGGAAGAGGCTTTTCTGACATTTGGCCCATTTACTCTGGACCAAATGTCAGAAAAAAACCCTTTTTCAGAACATCCCTTCTTCCTCGTAAAATGAGGTTCATAGGGATGCCAAAAAAGCATGTCTGCTCTTCTGAAAAAAATTTCGGAAAAGCAAATGTGTTCCCTGGACGTGGCAGAGTTTTTCCGGGATACATCTAGTATCCCGGAAAAACCTTTGTCGTGTAGACATAGCCTTAGAGTGTTCATGCCACATAAAGCTGATAGAGAAGGTGCAAATTGTTCTTTAGTACCCACTGTTTTTTTTATGTCATTAGGACATGGAATGTAGTGTGCTAGCCAGGTAATGTCTTTGTTCATGCCTTTGTGATAGGTCCCAAATCTGTAAATGAAGTTAAGTTCCAAGGCTTCCCTGTGTATTTGGCTTGTGGAATTGGCCTGAAACAACACGGTGACTTTGAGATACAGGCAGTCCCCGGGTTACGTACAAGATAGGGACTGGTGGTTTGTTCTTAAGTTGAATCTGTATGTAAGTCGGAACTCGCGTCCAGATTCAGCCGCTGCTGAAACTGACCGCCATTTCTGACTTACATACAGATTCAACTTAAGAACCCCA